TGGATGGGGCAGGGATCATGGTCCCTTCCCCCTCCTCCAGCCCCCACCCCCTCCCCTCCCCGACTCCTTACTTACTGGCACTGGAACCCGGGTCCAGCTTTCTGCTGCTGGCGCACTGCCTGACCTGCACAGGCAGTGTGAAATGCTCCAGCCAGAACATCTCTGTGGAAGACCCAGCCTCTGGTTGTCTCAGAGCATGGTCCAGGACTGTGCCCTGCCCCACACTTTTTATCTGCAGGTGTTTGTGACCCCTGGATATCCAGGGGATATCCAAATTTGCAGCACTGGGAACATTTTCTCCTTCCTGCACATGCTCCTTGCAGTGTCTCAAAGGAGTTTGAGACACTGCAAGATGCATGTGCAGGCTCATCTGGCAGAGCTCTTGGAGTTTTTTTAATGAATTGGTTAACTTTCAGTATAATTATTATGTTAGACTCACGGATTTGCTTCTGTACAATTAAATGGCATTGAGACTATAATACATACCCAAAGGACAAAAACAGATGGGTTTAAGTGATTTGAATATGCCATTTTTAATTCATATGGTGTATGCAGGCTATGTACTTTTCTATGTAACTTCTGGAAAGACATTGAATTCATCATTATTAATACCTCAAACCTCAGGCCTGAGAGAACATAAAATCTAAATCTCTGCTTTTCATACACTCAAACAGCCACTGAAGCACAGTCCTATCCTTCATATTTAATTAAGCCTCAAAAAAATAGCAAACTAGTTTATTTGGTGCCAGGATTTCTCTAACACTGTGGAAGTCAGGTCCATCTTCTGAGAAAGCATACAGGCATTCACCATGTTGAGAGAAACCCTCCTGCAATACAGATCTTCCAATGTGAAACCTCTTTTTTGTGGAGGGGACATGTTTTCTCCACAAGAAACTGAACAAGCACCTGTGTCTGTTGAGAGACAGCCTCAGCATTGAGGTCTATAATAGTGCCTGGTTCCAGGTCAATCAAGTGTAGCTGTTGTTCCCTCTGAAATGACTCTGGAGAAACTTGCATATAACAATTGTCCAATCCAGATTTCTTTCCTGTAAGTTCTATTTGATCCATGAATTAAGTGACAACTTTTCTGAGCACCCTGTGATCAGTCACTAGAGGTGACTTGTACAGACGTGTTCTTTTTCAGCTAAATAAACAGGATTAGGTCATAATTACCATACATTTTGGAATCCTTACCTTCTTTCTAGCACTGTTTAGACTCCATAATGACTTGTCTGAATCAGGTGATGATGAAATCAAAACTGATGTCAATGTGATATCTACCACTTGGTAGATTTTATGAGAAAACTTAAAGCTAGAGATGCACACAGTCCATGAAAACACTTGTGATTTCTTTCATAAGTTAAGGATCAAAGGGAAAGATGCCTTTAACCACATATGTAGTACTTCAGTGTCTCAGAAGATACTAGGCTTAACTCAAAATCTGCACCTCCTCTCATGTTGGCATCGTATCACTTGTATCAGTGCTACAGCAGAGGGCAATTCTATTCTTAATATGGTAGATTCCTCCTCTAGTTAGTCTCTGTGATCCTTAATGAACTTGGAAGCTTCTTGGTTAGTTTCTGTGCTCCGTTGAAAAATACTGAACAGAAAAGTATACTTCTCATGTATATCGAATATTCATATTAACTATTAAGTTATTTAAGCCCAATATAAACTCCAGTGTTGGAACTGGAATATATTTGAGAATCTGGGGAAGGATTTGATAGACATAGTAACTGACATCCACAGTTATTACTAAAACATATTCTTCCTTTTGTGTACAGCACTTCAGATGTATGTTCAACATCTATGGTATTCAGTAACTATGGTATTTGACATTCTCAATCAGAATTCCTGCCTTCTGCCTAACTGCAATGGTTTATCTCGAAGTGGATAACATAGGGCTTTTTGATTGTAGGAAGGATGTTTTTGATAATAAGACTAATTAAATTTTATAGAAGATGCATACTCTGTTTAGATAGATTTTTACCATTCTGTCACTGGGTTTGATTCAAATTAGAGAAGTAATCCTGCTTTATCAGTTCTCAAGTACAGAGGCAATAGCTTTGATCTTAATTTTTCAACTGGTATTTCTTCAAAAACTCATGTTTCAGCAACAAAATAGGCAAGGTAAGGGATACCTTTTAAGCAAAGTCTTTTAAGGCTTGTTGCCCTCTGCTTTCAACCTGTACACCTACTCAGTTTAGCTGTGACCTGGTAGCGGTGGGCATAGGTGCATGGCATGTTAAAATAATGCAATTGACATGTATAATACAATTTTACGTGCAATGGAAAGAGCAGTTCTTGCAAATTAATCCCTCATTAAGAGAAGTTGAATGATTACAAAAAGAAATTAAAATTGTACATGCTAACTTTTTCTTCTGTCTGAATATTTCTTTGTGATAGTGGTTTAAGATTTGTTTGCATTATCCTTATATATATATTCTTAGGCCTTTCAGCAGCACTGATGGTATGCATTATGAATGTGTATTTCTCT